AAAAAAAAAAAAAACCTTTTTTACTGGTTTATTAATTATTTAAAGCGGGGTTAGATAACCCGTACTGTGACTGCACATATGTATTACTAACGTTTAATGTATCACAGGTTTATGTATAAACAAAACTGCTATATATTTTATATTACTGTCGCTGATCCCGCAAATTGCAACTTATTTACCAAGTCATGACGGTGTATCTCCACTGCTAAAGGTTTTCATCCTCTGAATTACTGTTATTTTTGTTTCTAGTAAAACCATTTGATGCCCTTTTTTGTTTATTTGTTTCACATAGACAGATAATAAAGGTAAAACCAAAACGAACAACACAATGATGTTTTTGTAAAGCATTGATTCATTTGCAGACAAATACAAATTCAAAGAATGCAGGTGTTTATATGCGACTTATGCCCACAGGATTGGCGTACTTACGTGAAGTGGGTATGAGAGTGGTAAATGATGAAATTCTTCGGATACAACTGCCCACTATGCGAGAAAGTATTGATACTGGACGAGTATGTGATTTTTTAATTTCCCTTTTTTTTTTTTCACAGTTTCTAAAGTCATGTTTTCAATGTTTAAGGTTTCAATACGTAAAGCATATGTATCAAAATACTGGGCACCAACTGAGTACAGTTTAGATTTGTCTCCACCAAATATGTTCACCTGGTCTATGTCAAAGATGCATATAAGGTTATTTTATTTACTATGATTAAACAAGTGGTTTTGTTTTTTTTTTTATTTAATTTTTCGCTACCACTTTAAAAAGTAACTAATCTTTTGAAAATTTCTCTTTTTTGTATTGTTTCAGAAAGGCATTAGATTTTCAGAGCAGCTGGAGACTTTGAGGCAAATATGAACAGTCCTCTACTGTTGCCTTCAATGCCAATCCGCGGACAATTTGAAACCTTGTTGGGTCACGTCAGTATGACTATATCAGTAAAAATTGAAAAGTAAGCAGTCTTTTTTGCTGTTTACTTTGAAGACCAAATTTTATTTTTTACTAGAAAGTAGCACTTCTGGGTGTCTAATTATTTAGATCACCACTTGGTACGCCAGCAGTAAGAACTGAGTTCTGTAAAACCGAAGTTGGTTATGTCGATCTGAACGTTAGAGATACCGGAGTTATTACCGATTTCTTCATTAATGCTTTCAAGGGTAACCTGTTTTACTACAAATGAGAGATAATTTATTTGGAAAAAAAATTTATTTTTTTAAGTAATCTAAAACAGAACTTTTATCATATTTGTCAATTATCTATTACTGTAAAATTCAATGTTTAGCTTTTATCATCGCAAATTTTAAACCAATGGTGGAAGGTCGAGTGTGTCAGATGGTGAAAAAAGTTGTTGATGGTAATATGAACAATTTTCTCTCAACGATGCCGTTGCAGGTTTGTTGCAAACCTCGTTGTTTACTAAACAAAAACTTTTGAATAAAAAGTTTTAATAATTTTTAAAACAATTGTAAGGTTGCTAGTCACGGCTGTAGAATTGAGTAAAACCTGTGAGGAAAAAAATGCTACTTTTTCCTTGATTTGCTTTCTTCTGCTTACAACTTTTCTTTTCTTTGTGATTCTTTGAAATAACCGTTTCTCATAAATTTCTTACAGCGACAAGAGAAAAAAAATAATGTAGTAAAGAAAGCACGATAAATAAAAGGAGAAAATGTTTAAAGTGTTAAAAACTTTTAATTAATAGATGCTCTTCAGTGCTACAGCATAAAATTTTGTAAAAGTTTATCTAGTGACCCACAATCAACCTTGAACATTAGTGATAATTATGGTTTTTGATTGCAAAACCAAGTTGATTGTTATTAATAGTTTTTGATTTTTAGGTACCTCTAAGCGAAAATAGCGTCAATATACTGGAACAAACATTTGGTCTGGCTCCAAGAAAACCACTAAGTCGTTTCGGAGACGTCGGAGCTCGAAATTTTACATTAAATGAGTTTATCAATAACCTTCGCCAGAAAAACTTAGTCATGGACTTTCAGTTGATACGAGATCCATTAATTTCATATGGTGTTATTGATATGTTTGCAAAAGGCGAAATTTCTTGGTAAAGCATTCAGCTTAAAATTGTCGTAGAAATGCATGCTGAAAAACCTTATTTTAACTTCTTTGAAATTCACTACTTTTTTTAACCTGATGTAAGCTCTTACCAGCTCATTTTGTGAATTATAAAAAGCA